AACACTAAACTTCATTTGAATATTGCTTTTCTTGCCTCATAACAACAATTTGTGTTCAAACATCAACTGATTCTTTGTTAAATGTAGCTCGAAGTGGGAATGAGTTAAGAGCTATAAATAGTTGTGGTTGAACATAGATGAACAATGATTGGGTTTATAAGTGATTTGATAACGTCTCCTGTAGATGTGAAATGTGTGTGTGTGTGAGAGAGAGAGAGAGAGAGAGAGAGAGAGAGAGTCGGTGAGATTTCTCACCCGTAAGAGTTCCGCTGAGGAGGGTCTGTCCTGAGGAATTTTTAGTAGGCAGTAGTCAACGAAACTCCTGAATGCATCCGACCTACACACACACACACACACACACACACACACACACACACACACGCACACACACACAAAATTCAGTTACAATATTGTGTATTCAAAATAAACTACAATCCTCTGCCAGCACGGAGCACCTTGAGTCTGTTTATTGTGTAGTCAGTGATTTTGTGTGAATATTTTTTCACAACATATGTTTGCCTTCATTTGCTGTATCTTTTTGGGTTTTTTTTTTTGGCTAAGATTTATTAAAATTGACTGTAAAAACCTGCTGTGACAGGTTTGGTTTTAAATTATGTTTAGTTTTGGATCTAAATGAAAAATCAGAGATGGATCCAGGAGCAGATTTGTAGCACACAAGTGACAGAACCTCGGTTTTAAAAACAAGACAAGGGGAACTGGGTTACGATGACAGAAAACATGGCAGAGATCATGTTGAGTTAGTTTCAAAGTTGCTATTTTTAGTCCTATTTCCAGAAGATGTGGCAATGGAGGTGGAAAAAATGATTGGGCCCGACCAGCAGGGTGCTACCAACCTTCACCATCTCATAAAAAAGCATGGAGAGGGAACAAGGCAGTCGAAGGCCACACCTCCATTTTACTTTATAGGGATTGCTAATTCATTCCATTTAAAAAAAAATGATGAAATTAGGATATACAATAAAATATGATGGAAAACATGTATAAATCAGAATAAAAAACTAAAAGAAAAAACTAAAATAAAAACAAACAATACATTAAAAAGGAAACTGATTAAAAACACATATGCAAATCACGCACCAACAAAAGAAAACAAAACAAACTAAACAAAAAATAAATCAAAGTCAAACACAAAGAAAATAACAAAACAGAGCACAAAAGCACAAGGCAAAACAAAACAAACCTAAACTAAATGCAAAACAAAACACAAAAACAAAATCATAACAACCCTAAACCAAACTAAACATAAAACAACAACTCAAAAGAAAATAAATGAGGCATCAACACAGACATGGGTAAAAATATGATGTTACACAAAACAAACACAAAGCAAAGCAAAAACATCACAAAAAAGAAAGCAAAACAAACCTAAACTAAACTCAACACAATACGAAAATAGACTGTTACCACGAACTGTGCAAACTTTGTTTGGCGCTTGACTCAGGATCTAAAATGCATTGTCCCAATGTATTTGCCGCTATGAAGTCTGCCCCGTAATTGGGAGCATACTTTGTATTTTCAGCCTTTAAATATTGTTTTTTTTTTCTTTGTTCCAAAAAAAACAAAGCTTTGCCATTCAAGCTGTAAAGGTCTCCATTCCCCTGGGCATATTGTGAAAGCTTTACGGAACGTGGCGGTGCCAGACATAATCAATTCAAATGAAAACGTGCACAGGTCTAAGAAATTCTAAAAAAAAAAAAAAACAATACGAAAAAGACACAACAAAAATTAAACACAACGCTAAAAAAGAATGAGTCATGGACACAGATATGGGTAAAACAATGATATTAAACAAGTACAAATTGAAAAACTGGTCTTTGCGCGTCAGACTGTTCAGAAACCAGGACTGGCATTGGAGGTGTGGCTTCATGATGTGAACTTTCTAGATATTAATGTTGCACCAAAGTTGACGCCCTACAAACCCATTCAGCCTTTCTCTCTGCAGGTCACAGAGAGATGAGGGGTACGTTTGCTAGAGCACGAACACCCCAGACTAGGAGTTTGGCAGTTGATCTTGTGGTTGTTGCATAACACTGTTAAAAGTGAGAGGAGTGCGTGGATGAGAGTGCTCGTAAATATATATATGTTTGATGAGTAGGAGCCTATAAATGCATTTCTATCCACGCGAGTGAGTCAGCTTCTGTTCTGGGATTGTGTAGAGGGACACTCACCACTCATTGGACTGTAAGGAGGGAGAGTCGTTTTGGGCGATGTGGTATAAGGCACTCATAGCGTTCATGTTGAAGAGAGGAGGCTTGCGTTCAGCTAAAAAATGTAAATAAGAGCATAAATGAGCAAATAGGTTGAAGTATACACAAGAATTAACATTGCAGAGCTATTATTATATTTAAAATTCTAGATTCTATCATGCCTTGCACACCATTGGTCTTCTCTCCATCTGCAAAGGTTTCCACAAGCGTTAGACAAAATTGGCTCAAACTCTCTCACCGTCAAAAGTCTTCTACCTCCCGTTAAGTTAGACGCCCCAAACATCAACCTCAGGACAAACATAAACCTTCTGGGTTGTTATGATTGATTGTTGTTTGAGCCGCTCTGCTTATGCAGAGTTCAAACTTCATTGTTTTCGATAAATCAGCGACAGGGCAGGACTTTGAGAAAAATCGCAGACAACTTTGGCCCAAGTCCACTGACTACATCTTGCAACCAATACTCCAAAATTGGGAGCATTTTTTTGTACTTTTTGGGTTCAAATAGACTTTGTAAATAGATTATTTTAACCAAAATCATTGTCGATATTGCTGTCTGTGCCTTTGTAACTGTTCTCCAACTTCCGGCCGACCTAGATGATGCTCTCTCATTGGCTGCAGGTAATCGCAAATGTTATTTCCAGGTGGAACACATTTTACAGACAGCTTTAGATATTTAGCACGCCAAAAATGTCATGACCACAGATTAATCAAATCCATATAATCTTAATTAATTATATTTTGAGCATGTATTTATTCAAGCATATGTTAATTTGAGCAATTTGGTTCCAAAACATCATAAATATAAAGGTTAAAAAATTGAGAAAAAAGTGTTTTCTTTCCCGAAATAGGGTTTGTCTGGAAACTATTTATTAAACAAACAATAATGGTTTATTGTTTAAAAATTGTATAAATGTAATGAACCCACTACAATGCCATAAATTAATTACATCAATATAAAAGTGTATTTTTCCAAAATAAGTTTTTTTTTTCTCAAACTAGCCCATCATCAATTATATTGGACATAAACCTCTTCAAAGTAAACAAAGCAGTTGATTTATTTATTAATGTATTTATTTATTGTTTGTTTGTGAGAGATCAGCATCTTTATAAAAACTGCATTTCTCATCTTTTTACCATATTCTTTATTAAGGTAACCTTTAAATGGCTTTTGCTTCCTTCCCACAGACCCATCGAAATTTAAAATTGCAAAAAAAAAGGCAATCACTTAAGAGTAGGTTTACTGACTGACAGTCATGTGATTAAAAACTGCTTAGTCAATGGATTGAAGTAAATATATTGCATTCTTAATTGTACTTTGAGAAACAAAAAAGAAACACATACATGACGGTGGCTAAAAGTAAGATTTTGTTGCCATAATTTTGGAACCAACTCAATTATTTTTTTGGTATTATGTATATGTAAGTACCATTCGCTGTTTTCAATACACAACCCTAAGGTTGGGACCATCAGTTGTGTTTTGTCGAGTTAATAGTAGTGGTATTATATTAGTTTTCTCTAAAGTGTATGTTTTGCCACGACAAATGTAATGGAATTATGTCGAAACTCACCCAACTCTATGCAGGTGATCCCCAAAGACCAGATGTCCACCTTCCCCTCATATTGACCCTCATCCATGGCTAAAATCACTTCTGGGGCCATCCTGTAGTGGACACAAATGTAATATTGTAATCTCCAGAACTTAACTAGAGTGCGTAAGGCATCTTGAGCTTTCGTTTCTGTCTGTACTGACCAGTATGGGGTTCCCACAAAGGAGTTGGCAGGAGAGGCAATAGAGGCGGAACCAAAATCTGCGAGCTTGACCTGACCAGGTTCAGTCAGCAGGATGTTTCCGGCCTTCACATCTCTAAAAAAAAAAAAGACATTAAAATATTATAGGTTAAATTGGTAAAAGAGGGCTGAAGAAAGAGTCAAGCTTCTTGTGCAAAAATAAAAAATGCATGTTGCAAAAAAACATTTAGTTGTGTTTGCTACACACCGTGAAAGTGAACTAACTGTAATCAGATAGTGGTCTGGTGAGGACTCGCCTGTGGATCATATTGTGGGAATGCAGGTAAGCCAGTCCAAGCAAGGCACCGTGGGTAATGGCAGCAATTTCAACCTCCTGTAGAGGTTTCTTGTGCACTGAGCAGAAAGATGAGCAAATGTTATTTTTATAAATAAAAATAGCAAGTCAAAAGCAGCACTAATGGAAGTCAAACAGTTAATTCAGGGGCTCTACGGATATCATGAAAACATTACTCAGGAGCCATAGAAAACAACCAGCTCTATTCAACCTCTACTCCAAAGAGAGCATCATTGGATTGGCTCCACCCTCAGCAACATATGCACCTTCAATGCTGAAGAAGCAAAGCAACAAAAATAACACCAAAAATAGGGTGGTGGAGAAAGACTAAACACAGTAACTCAAGGACAAACTTCCAACATTTTGAAAATATATTGAAATCATAAAACAGATATGCAAATAGAGTAACGTGCAGCAAACAGAACAGACAGAAACATGTTTCAAGCGGACATTAATTTGCGACGGACCCATTCAAAAAACCCTTTCAAGTGAAAACTAGGCAATATTTCAAACAAGCAGAAGCACCTTGACCTAAATGCGAAAAACTGAAGAAAATAAATAAAAATGTGTTTATAAGTAATTTATGTTAATGTATTTAGGCAAAATAAAGTTTGCCTTTATTTTCATTCATGCTAACTATTGTTTGCGATTGGTTTGGTTTGGCTCAGAATTAACCACAGCTGCCTGGCTTTCTAGTGGCTCAGTTGGTAGAGCATTGCACTAACAACGCAAAGGTCGTGTTGTTCAAATCCTTGGCAAAGCAAGAAGCGACAAAAATGTGTTTATTGGCTAAAAGGCGACTGCCGAATGCAAAAATGTTTATCAATGCCAATTTGGTGGATTTCTACATAAGTGCTGGCACGTTGAATCAAATAGATTAACAGATTTTGGACAGTGACTTGTTTAATTTAATCTATTCATTTCCCATTGGAACATTATCATCGTCGGCTGCGTCGAATTGTTAAATATCTGTTTGCAATGTTGGGTTAGGGTTAGGGTTAGGGTCAACAGTGACCGTTTTGGGCCCTTTGTGCTGAAGCAACCCTATAAACAAGAATTACACATTTACAAAAAATGCTGAAATAAATTTATTGAAGTATTTTGCAGCAAAAAAAAAAACATGCTTAATATTAAAATCCATTTTGGTCTGGTAGTTCTCAATTATTAAAGTTATTTCTTAACATGATCACGTATCCACTAACTAAATACGAATAAGGTATACAGTAAGCGGCTACGGCAGGAGCTGCCATCCTCCACACTTGTAATGTCAGTTTCTTTACTGTAAAGGTGTGAAAAATCACCTTTACAAATGTTAGAAAGCACTCAAATCCACCATTATACCATATATCAGACTTTTACAGCGTTCTATAAGAAAGAAAAACATGTTTTTGATGGAGGAAATTTAATGCACAAAATACAATAAAATGTAAAATAACGCTATGACATCATAGAAACAACAACTGGATTTCCTTAATTTCAAACAAACATTTGGAGCAATAAATGAAGCACAGTGCGTAAGCAAAGCTGTACACGTTGCCATGACAACGTGCAAGACACAAAAGCCTGAAAGCATAAACTGTTTGGTTGAGAGTCAATAAAAGGGCAAAGGCCTTTATACTGTGGGTAATAAAGCCTGTTGACTGAAAACACAATAGCTGCTCGTCTGCAGAGCTTCAACGTTTGTACAGTGTGTGTTGCAAGTGTGAACTCGCCTTCTAACAAGTCAGAAGCAGAGCCGAGGCAATACTCCATCACAAGCTAAATAAAAAAAGGAAGAGAAAATGATCACAAATTGTAGCCTGTGAGAGAAAAAAAAAACGACATGTAAACGTTTCTACCGACCCATGCCGTGTTGTCTTTCAAGTAGCAGCCTTTGTATTCAATGGTGTTTGGATGTCGTAGCTGTTCCAAAAACTTCACCTCTTTAATGATGTCCTGCCACTTCTGAGAATGGAAGAAACAAAAACAAACTAATCTTAACCAAACTTTACATCCATATTTAAAAATGAGCCCCAGGATTTACTGACTTCATAAATCCAGGTTTCTCTCTTACCTCTGTGGTCTGCTTGCCATTGTAGGACATTTTCTTGATGGCCACCACTTCATTGGAATAGGAGTTTCGGGCCTGAGGAAAACAAAGCTCATTTATTTTGTCACTGTTAATTCAAAAATCTGTAGAAAGCATAAATAAAGTTTGAAAGTGCTTTTGAAACAATTAACCAATTAAGATTTTTGTCTAACAACCTGATCACACCATTCATATGGAAACTATGAACGTGCTTTCCCTTCTGCTAACAAACGTATGTGCAGTGGGTGCAATCTATCAAAAAACAAGATGCCTCTAATAAAAGGTTTCAGAACAGAAACATACATATAAGGTACAAATGTCTCCTCGACCAGGAAACGTATTCTTTGTTCAGATTAAACAACAACACTCAAAGTCAACGTACTTATTATTTCCATTAGAATTGAATGATTGAACCTGCTACAGTCGATCAGATTAACAGTAGGTGGGATAGCCACCTACTAAACCATATGAATGAGCTTGAAAAACAGACAATGGTCTCTTCAAGTTGGTGTAGATGTAGCTCTTAATACAGTTTTATTGTCACAAAATGAGATTCCTTGCTCGATAAAATGATTCTTGAAGAAATAATACCTTACTGACCCCTTTTAAACTGTTCTGTGCCTTTAAGTGAAGTCAGGAGCGCTTATGTTTGACTATTGTAATCTCTAATAGAAAAGGGCATGGCCGACATCAGTCCTGCAGATCACAAGGGCAGCTGGCCTTTGTATTTAAACAGAGTGAACATCTGTCTTAAGAGCTCCGTCTCCTAGTTATTCTGCCCCCTCGAGAGTAGCCCTACATCTGGATGGCCAGTCTGTATGAGAGTGAGTGCGAGTATTCAAGAGAGAGAGAGAGAGAGAGAGAGAGAGAGAGAGAGAGAGCACTCAAAAGAGAAGGATGGTGGGGGGGGGGGGTTCTTGCGCAATAGATCCCAGTCTTGCCACAGATTTGGAATCAAAGACTTTAAGCTATTAGTTTCCAGATTAAGAAATGCACAAGAGCTTGTCATGAGGCTGCAGCTCATGGATTTGACAAAACTGCTTCACTCCGTTTCTAACTAAAGCTGAGAACTGACTGACAAACAGAAAAAGGCTAACAGATCTTTACTAATCACTGACATATCTGTGTCATTTTTCCTTCATTCTTCACAGAGCAGGAAACTCAATCCACATTACTTCAGGAAACAGTGGATGAACAGTAAAAATGTTTCAGTAAAATAATCACAACAACTCAAACCCTAAACACCTCTCTTTATTTGTAACATTCGCGTGGTTTAGAAGGTTTTATATGATTTGAGATCCTCAAGTGATCTATGAGCACCAGTGTTTCCCCTACCATTCAATAGGATGGGTTTTAAGACTGGCACACACCCTTCTCCTCCTCCTCAAAATCTTGTTTTTTTTTTTTTTTAACGTTGTTTAATGTAGAGAGAGCTGCAATCATTAAGCGTATCTCACATGCCTCTGTCTTTTACACACCCTTACAACATCCAGGCGGCCTATGGCAAGTGTAAACACACATTTATCTAGGAGCTTAATTTCATAGAAAAAACAAATCAGAAATATGTCAATACTTTTCAAATTACAATATTTTACCATAGTAGAATATGTTTTGATGCAAATTAATGCTAGCTGCTGTTTGTATACTTCTGTTTTTACCAGAAGACGAAAAAAAACAGTGATTAAGAGTCTACTGACCTCTTTGAAAACACAAAGTTAATTACACATTTAATTACATCAACTACTCTGAAAGATTTACAGTCAATTACAGATGGAAAACAAGCTTTTGATGCTATTTTAAAGCTAAAAGTAACAAGCGTATTGCCAGGCAATTATGTATTTTAATGTAGAATATAGTAAAACTAAATATTTGTTTAAAATTATTACTATTTTTACACATGCCTTTCGCGAGAGCATAGTTCTTGTTGTAGGATGTTACTATTTGAAGTCTTACATCATTTTATTTTTAAATAGAAGATGAGGAAAGAAAATTATTTTGATGGCTTCGATTAAAAACAGTAATAATGAGTGCTAATTCATTTAGTTATATAAAATATTATTATTATAAATAAACCATAGACTGTAAAAAAGATGGACGACGTGACACTGCCTACTGCCTCTGGGCTAATATGAGGTAACTGCAAGCGTGATATGAGCACCGCCATGACAGTCAAGAGAGAGGATGGTTCTGGCGGGCATGGTTTCAGGGAACCGCCTTGAGTCGAATTTGAGAACGACTTCTCTGATTTTGATCATTGGCCGAGTAAATGATCTTTCTCACGACGTTATGACAGCGGTCAGTCAGCTCAGTTCAGCAAACCCATCAATCTCATAGGCCCCGCCTAGTTTTTTTTTTTTTTTTTAAGGGAAAATTTAGCCATCGTGAGCCACAAAAACTATTCAACTTTATTCAAATGATTAAAAACGTTTGTGTAAATACTGTACTTTCTCAGGAGACAATTTTAAAGTTTGTCTTTTCCCCATAGACATGTTTTGGGTGGTAATCATTCTGCAGCCAGCGCCATCAGGGCGCTTGACATAGTTTGGCTTCACTCCGCCAGCCAAGTGAGATACACTTGTATTAAAGGCAGTGGCAAATCAGCATGACTCAATTTAAGCGTATATTACTTAACATTCCATTTTTAATACAAGTGCCGGAGTTGACAAAAGCTGGGTTTCCATCCACTTACTTTTATGCGCATTTTCGAATATTGCATAAAAAAAAAAAAAAAACACTGAATGGAAATGGCAAGATGTGCATAAATTTTGAAAATGCGCATAAAAATATGCAAACAACTAAGTACGATTAACTTTTCTCCTATAAGAAAAAATAGGTATAAACTTGAAAACACATTCACAGAATAAATTAACTGTCAGGGGCGGTATTAATGTACTAACCAACAGAGCAATTTCATTGAACAACTTCTAAAATTTCTTAAGCAAAGTGTTAAAACAGAAAAACAGAATTGGTGCTTTATTTGCAAATAATTTATGCCATATTCCAGTTTTGCGCATAAATTTAATTTGCATCCTTAAAAGGAAACATGGCTAAAAAGTGCTTGGGAATACATTAATTCCACATGCAGCCGGTTAAAAATTGAATTGGGATCTCCATAATCACTTTTTATTTGAAAGGCGCCTAAAGATCTTAATGCAAGTCACAAAAGGAATTTTTAAATTACTCACAAAGTACACTGCTCCGAAACTCCCATGTCCGATCTCGTGCAGGTCACAGAAGACTTCCTCCGGGTCATCTTTGAAAAAGAGGTTGGCCAACTCTGGGTCTTTCAGTCCTCCTTTGCGCGTGGACGAAGGCATCATGAGTTAGACAGAACCTCTGATGTCCACGTGCTTCTGCTCACCTTCATTCAGCAGGCCCGGCATTGACCTGCTTTGCCTGCGGAAAGAATGGAGTGGATTAAAGTCTGACCGCTTGCCCACGTCAAGTGAGGGTCATTAGGCAGACAAAAGTGAGTTAAAGGATTAGAAAATCGAGGATCCTTTAACACTTAAGATGTGTTCCCAATTTGAAGAAAAAGCCAAGCCACAAATATGATTACGAGCTAGGATGCAAACAAACATCTGTTGCAAAATGTAAAATAAGAGTCTCTGTATGTCCAATAGACAAACCAGTTCTGACATAAATCTAAACATTTTCCAAGCTCCGCCTCTATGCTCCATATGCCCAATTAC